TCACTCCTGAAAGAGGTCAACTGCTAAGGTCGTTGGCCAGGTTCACTTACTAGAACTTGGGAATTAAGGCATCATTTCTAAGGTGGGCGGAAAGGAAGAATGCTGTGCTGGGTCACTGCATTAGGGCAAAGAGCATATGAGTTGTGGCCAGATCCTTTGGATCCAACAGGGAACAGAGAAGCTTAATAGACTGGTCTTTGCTGAAGTTATCTTCATGGATCTAAATCACAAGGGCTCCATGAAGAGTCCATTACCCTATAACAGATACAAAACTCCTCACAACGGAGGCCATTTATTCTAGGGCTAGAGATGGCAAAGGAACCATATCTCACCCCTGTCCTCCGGATCAGTGCACAGCAAAACCAGAAATAAAGGCTCCCCTCCTTTATTTTTATCTATCTATTTATTTATTTTTTGCGATACGCGGGCCTCTCACTGTCGTGGCCTCTCCCGTTGCGGAGCACAGGCTCCGGACGCGCAGGCTCAGCGGCCATGGCCCACGGGCCCAGCCGCTCCGCGGCATGTGGGATCTTCCTGGACCGGGGCACGAACCCCTGCATCGGCAGGCGGACTCTCAACCACTGCGCCACCAGGGAAGCCCCCCCTCCTTTATTTTTTAAAGGAGGCGGTTGAGAAAATAGGAGGGAGGTAGAGCAGGAGGGAAGGTGAGTGGTTTATTAGTAAACACAGAAGGGTAAAATCAACTCTACATTCATTTATAGTCCTTCTTCTACTCTCAGTCCTAACGCTACCTCCTTTATGAAGTCTTCCTGAGGCACAAAGGAATTATCAGGTTCACCTTCTCTTCCGCTCACTCCAGGACTGTGTACTGACCACCCCTAGTTACGCTGGTGTAACCTCACCATCTCCTTTACCAGACTGTCAAGCTTCCTGGGGGCAGGGACAGCGCATCTTTGCGTTCTCGGCACCTCGCCTTGGCCCTAACTGGTGCTCGGAAAGTTTGCTGGAAGGATGGATTTGTGGAGCACTTTAGCACTTCTTAGCCCCTCCCAGGACTGTCCAATACTCCTCCCTCTGGCAGGAATCCAAAGGCCAGTGAGGGCCAGGAGATCCCACAGGGCTCTTCTCGCCCTTAACCGGCCCCAAACTGTAGCAACCCTCCTTTGCGGCAGTTGAGGTACGTTAGGTTCCACTGTGTTGCGTTACGGGAAGTGTAGGGACGGAAAGCGGAAGAGGCGGGGCGAGTGGGCCGTTCGCTTCCGGCACCGAGGCACCCGGCCTGGGGTCGAGGAGGTTGGAGGCCAGCATTTCCTCAACGCTGACCTTTCCCGGCTGTCCTCCGCGCCACCAATGCGGTAGAGCGGATCCGCGCGGGAGGCCGGAAGCTCCGAGGCGTCGCAACTGGTGCACAGGCCCCGGCGCCTGCCGGCTGCGCTATGGTCCAGCTTAGTGAGTGATGGAGGCCCCGGGAGACCTTAAGGGCGGGTCGCGGGGGTAGGGGGCGTGCGGGACTGGGTGGAGCGGCGCTCTCGTAGACGAGCTAGAGGCAACCAGTACCTGAAACTGCACACGTTTGACCCTCTCCTCAGTGGTTTTCTTAAGTTTTCGCGGAAATCCTATGAGATAAATGGCGTTCATTTTATAGATGAGGCAGCTGGACTCCGACATGGTCCAGAGCCAGTGTTGAGTGCGTTGGGGGATGGCTGGAGTGCATAAGAGGAGTTTCACAAAGAAACGGTATCTAAGTCAGATTGACAAGAATTGGTTGGAAGTAAGGACCTTTCAGTGGAGGAAGGGGGCTCATTTCATCTATCTCATTTTGTCGGTTTTGTGCTCTCGATTCTTGTGTCTTAACCACTTATTTGTCTACAGGTACTCTGCTCAGCAAGGCCTACCTTGGAGGCCACTTAACCATCCGCCTTTCCCTGGGTGGCTGTACCAACCGGCCTTTCTACCGCATCGTGGCTGCTCACAACAAGTGCCCCAGGGATGGCCGTTTCGTGGAGCAGCTGGGCTGCTATGATCCACTGCCCAACAGTCATGGAGAGAAACTCGTTGCTCTCAACCTGGACCGGATCCGGCATTGGATTGGCTGTGGAGCCCACCTCTCTAAGCCTGTGGAAAAGCTTTTGGGTAACTCAGCTCTAGCCTTACCTCTCTGAGGGCATTTTAAATTGAAACTAGCTCGAAGATGATGGGAATTAAGAACGATTTTCATTATCTCCAGGCTGATCAGGACTGGAGTGAGAACTGAAATTGATCTGATTGCCATTTTGAATCTGGAGATAACCTTTTGTAGACTACTTTATGAGACTTTTTGGATGACTGAGATTTTATGCTAAAAAATGGGAACGGTGTGTCTTGAATGGCTGTCTGTCAGTTCTTTTTTTTTTTTCCAAGTAAGGAGAATAGTGTTAGGAAGTAGACAACATCCATTGTGACCTTGCAGTAAACGGAAGGAAGTGAGTTGGGGGAAGAGGTAAAACATGTTGTTGAGTGAGGAACTTGATTTGAATCTATGTTCTAGATCAGGTCTCTGTTAGACCTCAGTTCAGTGATGCTGAGTTCCCAGGGAAACATTAGCTTGTATTGTTATAATGAATGAAAATCCTGTTACTTTTAGGTCTTTCTGGCTTTTTCCCTCTGCATCCGATGGTGATCACAAATGCTGAGAGGTTGCGACGGAAACGGGCACGAGAAGTCCTCTTAGCGGCTCAGAAAACAGATACAGAGGCTACAGAAACAAAAGCAAACTGACTTCAGTGATCATAGCACTGGGAACAAGGTCGAAGTCCTCTTAAAATATTTGTGCAGATCTCTTAGGTTTATTATATTTAGAGGTCAATAAATGGAATTTTTTAAGTCATCCATGGTATTCTGGCCTGACCTGAACAGGGCCCAGGGAGAGGTTTGTTCTTGACTGACATAAAGCTGGGTATAGGTACTAATTAGCTTTTTCAGCCTTCATCTGGGGAAAGACAGTGGCTGTGGGGTGGATTGGACTCTGGGTCTCTTGGACAACTTTACAGCCTGCTACCTTTGAGGACTTCCCTGTGTTTCAAAGTCCCCAACTAGCATGTCTGTGTCCTATCCAACTAATTCCTAGTTTAGTCATTTATGGTTATCCCACCAGCTCAGGAACACAGTTACTTCACTTATTGTTTTTGTAATTGCAGATTTACATTGTCTTGTCAACGCAAAATTTCAGATTTACAAAGGTAGGTTTGTTATGAGCTTTTAGGTTCTAACAACCTACTTTTTAGGAATAACTGGAAGAAAGATAATATTGTAAAGTACCCACATACATTTTAGGCCTTTTCTGTGCAAGGTTATTTGTGAGAATTATAAGATATCATGAAATTAGGTAGGATTATCTCATTTATAGGAGTGGAAGCTGAAGTTCAGCAGTAGAAACTGGCTCAAGGCCACATAGTTTTAATATTGGGCAGAGCTAAGAGACCCCAATGTTCCTACCTGGAGAGCCCTTTCCAACATGTCATATTGTCTAATGAGCTAAGGTGAGGGGCTTTACAAAAATCCATTTAAAAAGTCAGTGACAGAATCAGGTTTAGGTATCATGATTTGGTAATACAGATGACTGGTTGTGTCCTCCAAAACCCAAATAGCACATAATCTGTTCCACCAGAAGCGCAGCAGGATTAGATGCTTTTAGTGCACGTTGGATAATACATATTTCATAATCTGACATAAAACTAAAACATAGGAGATTTATAGAGGAGATTCTGTAGCCCTATCAATGTACCAAACTCTTTTATTCTCTGGGTTTTATATTCTGAGAACAGTTACCAGCCATCTCAAAATCTGAGGTCATCAGGGCTCTCCCAGGGTTGTCACTGGTTGGCTTCCACTTACTTTGGGGCGACTTTAAAGGCACAGCAGGCAGAGAGCAACTGACTTTACCTGGGTTTGATCTTGGATCTAGGAAAGAGAAATGTTTTGAAAACCATTTCAAAGTTTAAAAGATAATAATCTACCCTGGAGAGTTTGAGGTCTTTGGAGAAGCTTTAATTGGTAGAGCAGAGGAGAATGTAATTCTGGAAAGTATTATTCAGTGAGGGGAACTGATGTGAAATGGGTATTTTGAGCTACTGAGTTTCTTCCAGCTTACGTATTCACTTTGTGCCCTGGTCTATCTTTTGTCTAAGATCTATATACACAGACTTCCTATGTGAGCTCATCCTCTCCCTGATTTCCAAAGTTTTCTCTAGCCCTAGCCTTGCTTTGGATTTCCAGGCCCAGATTTTTCACCAAGTCTTGAATGATTGCATCAGCCTGTCTTGCTACCCGCTCAAGTCCAACATGCTCAAACCCCAGGACTGCACTTGAGAAAGCTTTTGCTTCCGAAGCTTAGGTTTTAATAAGATGAGCATTTGGATCATGTTATCTCCAGCAAAGTGGAAGGTGATTTACGAGCTGGAAGGTGAATGGAAATGATTCTGTAATAAATGTCAAATCTAGAAGTTCTATCAGACAAAGAATTTTTAAAAGACCGGTATTTTGTCTTTTTGTTTAATGTAGGCTTTTTAAATTGCAGAGCTCAAGGGAAAGTCCCTACCCAGCGGTCCCAACCTGTAGGTTGCAAAATTATTTGGGCCTCAGAGCTCCACGTACTCTTGTCAGATCATCTTTGGAAAAGAACAAATCTGTTTAATCTTCAGGTTAAATTTAAACCATGTGAAATTGCCAAATGCCGATGTTACGCTGTTTTACACTGAAAAAAAGCAAAAAGAAAACAGTGCATAGGTTCAGCCTAATATGAACGTTTCTTATATTGTTGCATAAACTGAGCTAGGACGTTGGGGAAAAGGTAGGTGCGAGATTTCCAGAGCATAGGGGGGAGGGCCGCGGAGGAGAGGGCGTGGTGGAAGGAGGTCCCAGCGCTAGAGGAGACCAGGGACGCCGGCTCCACTCTCCGCCTCAATTCTGGCAGACGCAAGCTTGGCCACACCCCGCTTTGCAACCGCCGTAAAGTGTGGTGTCGTGGCCCCGCCCATTCCGGCGCCTCTTGTGACGCCGGCGCCCTGGGCTTTTTGCGCGGGAAAAGGGTGCCGCCTAGGTCTCTGCTCCGCGTCACTGGAGTCAGGCTGATTTCGCTGAGGTCGCTGCCGGCTCCGCACCGCTGCCGGCCATGGGGCTTCTGGAGCTGTGCGAGGAAGTGTTCGGCACCGCCGACCTTTACCAAGTGTTGGGCGTGCGGCGCGAGGCCTCAGACGGCGAGGTCCGACGCGGCTATCACAAGGTGTCCCTCCAGGTGCACCCGGACCGGGTGGGCGAGGGCGACAAGGAGGACGCCACCCGCCGCTTCCAGGTGCGCTAGACCCCGGTCCGCCGGCTGCCCGGGCCTTTCTCCGTCTTCTGGCCGCCCGACCCCGCCCAGGTGGAGTGAGCCTAACCCGGCCTGGCGTTTTCTAATAATCTTTTATTTCTCGCGGCGCGGTTTCAGTGAGGCGCAGGGTTGATTTTTGGATGCTCTTTCCCGCAGATCCTTGGGAAGGTCTATTCCATTCTGAGTGACAAAGATCAGAGAGCAGTGTACGATGAGCAGGGAACAGTGGACGAGGATTCTGATGTGCTCAGCCAAGATCGGGACTGGGAGGCCTATTGGAGATTACTGTTTAAAAAGGTAAAGAACTCTGGAGACTTCCTTGTGACTTTCCATCATTCATTCAACAAACGTTTATTGAATGTCTCTAAGGCCTTGCATTTTGTGTTGTGTAAGAATGAGGAATTTTTATTTGGCCTCGAAATATCAATAAATAAACACATACACACCGGCGTTCCTCAGGAGATACCTATTTACTTATCGATGTTTGAAGAAGGGAAGACTTATCTCACCGTTAGGTTGAACCGTGTGTGTGTATCCATAACACATGCACCTACATACACACACACACTCTTACTGAAATGGGCCTTTAATTTTCCGTTGATGTAGAGTGATTGTAGTAAAATGGGGGCATTTGATTTTTTACAAGATGTGCTTTATTTTACATATCCCAATGTAAGTCCTGAAACTTTTCCTAGCTTGGAAACTTCACTTAAATTTTCCTGGTTTGTAGCTTAGCAGTTGTAACGGTTGGACTAGGGAGAACTCTGGAAAATCTTTGGCATAGAAACTTTGGTTCCTTGCAACAATTTCAACTCAAGCAACTGAGTTGAGGAGAAACATTTCAACACCTAAATATACTTTTTACTAGTATTTCTTTTATTTAAAATAAAATTCTCAAAGTTAAAGCATATGTCTCTCATTTGTTCAGATATCTTTAGAAGACATTCAAGCTTTTGAGAAGACATACAAAGGTTCAGAAGAAGAGCTGGCTGATATTAAACAGGCCTATCTGGACTTCAGGGGTGACATGGATCAGATCATGGAGTCTGTGCTGTGTGTGCAGTACACAGAGGAACCCAGGATAAGGAACATTATTCAACAAGCCATTGATGCCAGAGAGGTCCCGTCCTATAATGCCTTTGTCAAAGAAGCAAAGCAAAAGATGAATGCAAGGAAAAGGAGGGTAAGATTTTCAATGCTATTTATATCTTGACTGCTTCCAAAAAGAATTTGAGGATATTTACAATAATGAAAATATATACAAGACAGCTGAAATAAAGATTAGGTTTAACTTGTTTTGTAGTTTTCATCTAATAAAATGAGCAGATCAGCTCATTAAGAGAACCTTTTTTTTCTACTGTGTTGTGTGCTCAAGAGGATTTTACTGCATGGATTATTTAGATAATATCGTTTTAAACTATCACTGAAATATTCTCTGTATGGGCCAATTCTTGTAACCTTGCTGAGGCGTTCCTGAGTAAAAGTAATGGAGTCCAGATACACAGGCTAGACAATGATTCTCACTTGGTTAAGGCGTTGGGGGGAGGGTGACAGAGGCTGTCCCTTTAAAACTGTGTCTTGTTAATTCAGATTCCTTTGTTCTTGCCAGATTGATTCTTGAGTTGGACCCAGAATATACATTTTTTTAAACAAATGATTTAGTTTATTTTGATAAGTGTCTTTCCAAACACACTTTGTGGTACACTTTTGTGGAGTATCAAGGACTGTGGCTTGTGTGTCCTTTATACCCATATTAAACTGTGGGGTTGGTGAGGGTAAGGATGATGGCAGGGGAAAGGAGCTTAAGGATATCTGGGGTTCAGGGAGGGAGTGGATTCAAGGTAACAAACATCTGTGCCTCTGGTCTTTTGGTATTAAAGGCACCATTGCCTCAACCTGACTTTCATAATGGGAGCTCCACGGAGAGCAAACAGTGTAAGACTGTAGCTCTTTGGTGGGTACTTTATTTTGTATGGCTGAAATGGGGGTGGAGGTAGGTCTGCAGCTTTTAGGTAAAGAGACAAGAGAAACGTGACACCTGTGCTGAGTTGAGAGAAGTGGAATGTGTATCAAGATCATCATTTTGGCTCATAGGCTACATCTGTCTAGATTCAAGCTGACAGTTTATCTTAAGTTGGTAATCATCTTTTTAGGTGAAACTGAGCACATTTGTATTCAGTAATAGGCTATTAGCTTGAGAAACTTCCCTAGAGTTTGGGGGAGTGGGGTGGGAGGCTGGAATACTTTTGAGTGAGACTCCCACAAACTTGGAGAGGGGAATACAGTATTAAAAGAAATAAATTGAATACAGGGACTGAAAGTAGACAATGGAAACTGTGTCTCTTTATTGGAATAACCAGGTCCTAATGTATCATAACTCCCAGTATTAATAGTATTCATTGCTACTTAGAAAATTCACTGGGGGTTGGGGCCTCTTATAGTCTTACTTGTTGCCCTGAAGGAAAGAGT